CTCGCTGTCCTGGCTCGTATTATTGAGTCGACTTCGAATTCTTGCTCGCCCAGGTCGTCAAGAATAGCGGGATTTTGTTCATCATCCCGTCGCTGACTCGGAAATGGGTCTGCACCTGCTCGCTTAACCAACTCAACATGAAAGCGGTTGTGAATGTTTCCTGGGACGTTTAACTCCACAGTAAGTGGATCAGGAACAGCGATCACATCATACTTCGCATGAAGCCAGGCTAGCTTCTTAGACAGCTGAGGTGTCTTTATATTTCTGAGATCCAACCAAACCTTGTCGCCAACCTTATACTGCTCCGGTTGTCTCCGATTACGATTTGCATTCCCCTCATTTCGCTGTTGAGCTGAAGCCATTGCTGCTTGTGCAAAATCTTGCGCATCCTTCAACCTCTTGACGTAATCCTGGGCAGATAGCCGTCCTGGGTGTCGAGAACCAATCTCTGAAATAGGCGTGGGCTCTGCTAGAGGATCCAAATCGTATCCGTGCCGTAGGAAGAATGGACTTAATCCCCCAATTGCTGAACTCGGTCGTGAGTTTAATGCCAGTTGTGCTACAGGCAACAGTTCCATCCAATTGTCTTGTGAATAGCAAGTGAATGTACGTAGGTACTTATACAGCTCCTGATTTGCTCTTTCACTTGCATTAGATTGTGGATGGTACGCCGTGGTTAATCGTTGTTTTATTCCTGTCAATTGACAGAAAGTTTGCCAGAATTTTCCCACCCAGTCACTACCTCTATCACTTGTCAGGTATCGAGGGAAGCCAAAGTAACGGTAATATCGGTCGATAAATACTTTCGCGCTTGGTGCAGCTTCCATTGTTTTTGTACCAAAAAGAAAAACATCTTTTGATAGCCGATCTGTTATTACCATTATATTTGTACAATCCTCAGAAATTGGCATATCTGTAACAAAATCAATTGTGAGCTCGCTTCCTATTCGGTCAGGAATTGGCAGTGATCGAAGAAACCCAGCCTTTGCCTCTCGCCATACAGTTGTTCGGCCACAAACATCACAATTCCTTATAAACCGACGGACTGATTCCCTCATCTTTGGCCAAAACCATCGCCTCAAAATTATGCCAATCATTGTATCCTTGCCCGGATGTCCCGCTAGATGACTATCGTGCGTCCGCTGCATTATTGCCGTTCTCAGTGGCTCGTAATCAGGAACCCAAATTCGACTTTCTCTCCCGCGAAGAACGCTATCTGCGGCAACCGTACACTCTGCAATGTTAGCGGTTAACTTCTGAGCTATTTCTGGTGGAAAACTTCTCTCTCCATTCTGAACGGCATCGCGCGCTCGTTGCCAATCTCTGTCGTAGTTGACTCCCTGGTTCCAAAGTGCCTGAATCTCTTCGTCATCCGATATTCTTGCTGAAGCTGCTGGATCTATAGCTGGGCTGCTTGAACCATTTGATGCACCAAGTTGCACCTCAACAGGTGAGGCGTTGACGGTCGGTAATAGCTGCATAATCCTACCCATGGTTCGTTCGTCATCCAGGCCATGGGGCTTGTCCTGATCGCGTCTTGAGAGAGCATCCGGTCGTTCGCAAGAATTGCCGGGTCGCCATTTAAGAGTGAAGTTAAACTGATGTAAAACGTCGTAATATCTAGCTTGGCGTTCATTGAGTAATCGCTTGCTCATGAAATAATCCAAGTTCTTGTGGTCACTCAATATTGTGAATGGCTTTGACACTGATCGGAGTTCGGCTTTCCATTCTTGCAGGCACGTGATTATTGCCAGCATTTCTTTATCGTGAATTGGGTAATTTGCCTCAGCACCACTCAGCCGCTTTGAAAAGTAAGCTACCGGTTCCAGACAGCCATGCATGTCTGCTTGCGATAAACAACCACCTAATGCGTAACCAGAACAATCAGCTTCCATCACTGTGTCCCGCTCGGGATCCCATTGCGCTAGCACCGGCTCGGTAGAGAAAATATCTTTCAATCGTTCGAATGCTTCGTTTTCTTCTGGTCCCCATTTCCAAACCGAATCCTTTTTTGTCAAATTGGTCAGAGGTGCAGTTAACTCCGAAAATCTATCAACAAAGCATCGGTAAAAATTTGCAAATCCTAGGAACGAACGAACTCCTTTCACCGATGTGGGTGCCTTCCACTCTATAATACTTTTAACCTTAGCAGGGTCCACAGTCACTGAATCCCCAGCCCTCACAATATATCCTAGATACTTTACTTCTCGACACAGAAAATCGCATTTATCAAGATCCAAGTACAAGCCAGCCTTCTCTAGCCTTCCCAAGATACTTTGGACTGTTCTCCAGTGATCATCCTCACTTCCATTCGTGTATACTAGTATATCGTCCATGTATGCCGTCGCATCAATATCAAGGTGTCCTCGGAGCTGCTCATTAATATATCTCTGGAATGTTGCAGGTGCGTTTGCAAGGCCAAATGGCGTAACAAGCCACTCAAAAAGACCATGGCGACACCTGAAGGCGGTCATCCATTCATCTCCCTCTCTGATTCTAATACGATGGAAAGCTGACTTCACATCTAGTTTCGTGAACCACCTAGCCTTTGAAAGTTGTCGCAAAGTTTCTTTAAATAAAGGAAGTGGATACCGGTCTGGAAGGGTAATCGCATTTAGCCCCCGATAATCCACACAAAATCGTAGCCCTCCATTTGGCTTTCTGGCAAATAACACGGGCGATGCTGCTGGCGAACTACTGGGTCTAATCCATCCCTTACCCAGAAGTTCTGTTAATGTCTTGCGCAACACTAGAGGCTCTTCCCTCGACATACTGTACAGAGGGCCCCAAGGCGGTTGGACTGGCTTCCCATCTTCACTCAGAAGATTTATAGCATGGTCTAGATGACCTCGAGTTTGCGGGAGATCGTTAGCCCCGCTATCATCAGAAAAGAGGCGCGCAAAATTTTTTACAGGACCTGGCAGTCGGTCTTGAGCTTCGGAGATCTTGAGGCAAGGCTTCGTACGGAGTGCCTTATTTATATCGTCTAAAGAAGCTTTGAATACGGGGACCTCCTTCTCCATAAAAGATAAGGCTTCAACAGGAGAACATTCCGGCTCCTTTATTCCCTTCAAATTGTGACGCCAGCGCCGAGCACTATAAACAGAGCCACCACTCTTCCTAAGTTCCAGCCGCTGCTCTTTGGAGTGGATTACTGCATCCTGATCTTCTAACCATTTCTTCCCTAGTATCATTTGATGTGTACTGTGCGGTACTACATACAGCCACAACTTCTCAGTAAGATAGCCATCGAGGTCTATAGAGACCCAAGTGATGCTTCTCACAATTGGCTTGACTTCTGATGAATTTTCTGCTGTCTGAAGGGTTCGGGGAGAAATGGGTTTGCACGGTAAACTCAGTAGAGCTGCGAATTCTTCATCAATGATACCTGAACATAGACATCCATTGTCGATTAAGGCTTGCACCATAGTGACGTCGTTAACTAATGCATTGACTAGAAATGGATTTGTGTTCATCTTTGGCTCCTGTTCAGCTACTGTCGTCATTTCTGAAACTTTTTCATCCAATATTATCGGCTCTACAAAATCTTCCCTTTTGGAGCGAGGGTACTCGTTATCATGCACAATTTCGTTGACATAGATATCCTTCTTCTCAAATGATGGGGTTGATCGGGAACGTCTTCTTTCTCTTCTGAGCGGTCTGTTACTGGTCATTGCATTAACAAGTAGTGGTGATGTGGTCGTCCTCGTTTCATGATTCGTAAGAGAGCTCCTCATGATAGGCCTCTGGGTTGACCAACCTATTCTATCTCTTCGATCTCTCGTATGCCGAATTTCTTTAGTAGGACTTATGAGATTTTGAGAAATGCTATATGGATCCACCTCGTACATCGTTGGATCAATAGGACCTAGACCATCGCCATATGGATCTAATTCGTACATTGCTGGATCTATAGGAAAAATTTTCTTCGCTCTTCGTGGGTTAATTGCTGGAAGAAGATGACACACCCTAGACATACATCCCTGTTCCTCACATCTGAAGCAACTTCCTTCTTTCCGAAGCTTCTCCAGCTGATCCTCTGATTTCCATATTGCCCTGAGACAATTTTTTTTTTCTCCATGGTAATATTGCAATGATCCCATTTTATCTTTGCCCCCAAATTGACTGATGTGATTGACTGACTGACTGATTGACTGACTGACCGACTAACTGACTGACTGACTGACTGACTGACTGACTGACTGACTGGCTGACTGACTGACTGATTGACTGACTGACCGACTAACTGAACTGATTAAGGTTCTGAATATCTGAACTAACGGTGATCCTGAATTAGAGAAGAGAGAATTATAATATGTCACGGTTTCATTACAAAATGCATGAGCAATGTTGTAGGTACAATATTTTAATTATAATTCTCTGAAGAGAGAATTTCTGTACTTAATGACTACCTATATATACAGACTGAAATACCCCTCCTCGATAAGGTTCTCTCTATGACCTGTCAACTCAGACTCTCCGACAATCGCCTGTAGATCCTTGATACTTCTGTAACCCTCATGAACTCTCAGTAGGTTTCAACAAGGCTCAATGTGAATCATCTAGGTTCCCTGTCATCCAAGATCTTCCCAGGAACCTCCCTTCGTATAATTGCCTGCGCTAGATAGCGTGGGCTACAGGAACCCTTAGGCTTAACAGCCGTCACACATGAAAAGGATGATTCATGGGATTACAAGCTTCTATGGGTCAGGTTAGCTCTTTGATATTGTATCATAGCCACAAGTCATTATTACTTTATTAGTTACAGCTATACCATTCTAAATAACAATAGGATCCTAATTTCACATATTTAAACCGTCCTCTCTTCCACTCCAACACATTCCAGTCTCCAGAAACCAGTTTCATTCGAATTTCTACTCCGCTGAGCTTATTTTCCATTCCACTTCTTCAAGTTAAATAAATCGACCTTGCAGTAAAATAAGTGTAAGATTTCAGATAAAATATAAGTTTGTGTTAATATGAATTTAGGCTAGAATAACATGAAGTTCTTACATCTTACTGGCATTATTGTGCTGCTAAGTCAAGCAACATCAATTTCTGCTGCCACGCTACTCCCAAGGTCATCGTCATCTGGTACAATGAGGCTAGCAAACCCAATGGATCAAGTCTATCAAGCTTTCAGAAGATATGAAAATAATAGAGAGGAAGGGAAATCTCCAGATTCAATATCTAGAATGAGAGCTAGTGCTTTGGGCTTCAAATTCCTAATTCCATTTCATATGGATCCATCGTGGAATAAGAATTGTGAGAAGTCTTTGCTAGTTCAAGACAACATAACAACTAATTAACTCATAGGTCACGAAAATTAAATTACTGTGGGCTCAGACGGAAAACTTAACAATTGGGTTGTTATTTCAGATAAGGAGACCTTAATCCGTTCAGGACCGGTGTAGGAAGGGTAATAGTCCAAAATAGTTCTGAAACTGTTCCAACTCTCGGGACCAATGCTGGAGAAATGTAGTTTTGATGGTTTTTATAATTGGTATATGTTAAAGGTATCATAGCTACACAATGGAGGTTAAAAATTAAACAGTTTTAGTAAAAATGACTCAGTATTTAAGTATTAGTCTGCCATTGATTTGAGGATTGAAGGCAAAGAAGCTGAGTGAACAATAGAAACTTCAATACAAGACACAATGGTCTATTGTCTACAGGTAGTATTTCCACCTATATCTATGATAGCTCAGTTAAATTGTTTGGATAAATAGAAAGACGTGTCAATAGCAGGAGTACTTCGGAGGGTCAGTAATTTGTGAAGTCAATGGTTCAAGAAGTAGATGGATGTCTGGAGGTCGAAGAGTCAAAATTTCAAGATGCCAAAAGTTCAAGAGTTCAGATGTTCAACAGATAAATTTGCAAAAGTATTCAAGATTATCAAAAAGCTTCCTAAGATACAAGACCATAATCTGCCGAAACAAAGTCATCCCAATTACCCATTATATATACCTTTCTATTGTTCTCAAACTTTCCAGTATACTTTCATACAGAATAGAATAGTCTAGACAAGTACAGATCAAATTGGAATGGAATAGAGTAAGGTAGGATAGAACAGAACATATTAGGATAGAATATAGCAGAAAACCACAGATATCTTCATACAGAGTTCCTATTGACTCAGAATTAACCCTTGGTCCGTGACAAAGCGGACCGGCTGCTGTACCAGGAAAGGGAAGAAAATATAGGCTGGTACAAAAATGCTAGTTCTGTTTGTTAAGCAGATTGGTTTGCAAAAGCTTGTGGCTGTTAGGCACAGATTGTATCACTTGGTGAAGCGAGTGGGAAAGTAAAGGAGTCTGTAAATCTGTTGTGGAGAGTTGTTAATTACTCCCACTAGGACACAGAGTGCTATATAAACTATGTTTTGTAATAATAAAATCTAGTGGTGTGACGGCTGTCAAGCCTAAGGGTTCCTGTAGCCTACGCTGTCTAGCGCAGGCAATTATACGAAGGGAGGTTCCTGGGAAGATCTTGGATGACAGGGAACCTAGATGATTCACATTGAGCCTTGTTGAAACCTACTGAGAGTTCATGAGGGTTACAGAAGTATCAAGGATCTACAGGCGATTGTCGGAGAGTCTGAGTTGACAGGTCATAGAGAGAACCTTATCGAGGAGGGGTATTTCAGTCTGTATATATAGGTAGTCATTAAGTACAGAAATTCTCTCTTCAGAGAATTATAATTAAAATATTGTACCTACAACATTGCTCATGCATTTTGTAATGAAACCGTGACAAGTGGTTGGTATTTACGTCAAATCGCATTAATACTAACCTGACAATTAATGGGAGATTAGTGACGTGTCTTCTACACATCCCTGTCTCTGCCATATTTGGAAGCACCAATTTCAACACTGTTCAATTCAATCCCTTCATTTTCCTAATTTATGTAGTTATCTTTTTGCATAATATCTTGTTGAAATTGGCGCTACTTGGCATTGAAGAGGCGCATTAATACGGAACGTAATAAGGTTCTATTATTACTAGCCACATTCATGACGACTCATACATTGACCAGCCTCCCAATTATTTAGCATAAACAAGTGAATTGTGTCCTTCACTTAGATGTAGTAATTAGATTAAATAGCGCTCGGATACTAAGTGGGTTTAATCAACAACTCTCAACTATAGTTTTCAGACTCTTCAATCTCCCAACTCGCTTCACTAGGTGATATTAAATACAAGCCTAACAGCTTACGCTTCTCTATACAACTTCCATTCCAACATATCTAGGTTCAGATTAACAATTAGATGATACTATTGGCTCATCTTCATTGTAAACAAAGATGTATCATTGTGCTGTGACAATATGATAACCTTGGCATTATGCACTAGCCGGGATCCGAACTGTAGCTGTTAATCCTGTAATGTAAGAAACATTGAACAATTTACATCAGATCAATACAGATTTACACGACTCTTCATTGAATTACTACAACTGACCGTGGAATCATCCAGTAGTCATTCCAATAGATACAATCATATGTTGGAGTGCACCTTCAACTTGATAAATTATAAGGCGTGTCTGATTATTGCAACAGCTATCCGAGTTAGTCATAATAAAACTCATGAGCTGCATCAATTACGCTTTTTATGCAGGTCAGTCTAGTGTAGAATGTTACGGTTTGACTGTTGTTTTAGCTTTGGTGGATACCTAAGCCTGATACTAAGAATTCTTACGACGAGGCTGTATAGGGGGGAGATGAAGCTGAACGAGACGGCACTAGTAGTCAGGAGGCTGAAGCGTTATTACAACTTAGTGACAACTGGAAATACGTGGCTGTGTAAGAAGTATTGTGCCTAAGGACAAGTCACTAGTCTGCAGATTCACGAGGAGGATTAACTCCTATAAATACCTGTTAGTAGTAGCTAGAGTTAGCTTTTCTCCTCATATAGTTTATTAAATCGATTTATTCATCAACAACTCGGTTTCTGTCACATAGAAAACCTGTACTTTGAAGTTTATCTCCCTTAATCTTTATACATAGAGAATAGTGCAAATATTCAAAAATTCATACAACCTACACATATTGTACTAAATTATCATGGTCATATATTATAGGGTGTAATAATGATCTTTGAGGTGATATGCTGGCTATAACACGTGCATGGGCTTGTAGAGACATAATGAGTAGTTCATGCAACAAATGGAGATAGTTACACAAGTGTATGTGGGGATGTGAATGAAGGTGTATAGAGGAGGGCAAGACTGAGCACCTGTACGCGGTGTCCTCTACAAACCTGGGAGATAAATACTCCCCAGAGCCAAGCTCAGTCAAATATTGTAATATTAAACAAGTTGGCTTATGTGAAAATGATTCAGATTACTCCTCCACATCGTTTATTTGCTCCCAACAAGTTTGACGCTGTTGAAATATGATATATCTTGGAATGCCAAGAATAACTTGTTAGTAAGTCCGGCTAATTTGACTAACAAATTCCTATTCTATATTACTGTTATCAATACATCCTTCACCGAAATTTTAATGCGCATTAGCATTTATTTCAAACTAGCATTCCAGTGGATGAATATGTCTCAAATGCAGGTAATAGTTTTCTCGTATCTTTTGCTGACACACATGTATTTAGCTTAATATTCCTGGCCCATATATGTGTATGTACATAGATCAACATCTACAGGGATCATAACTTACGATCTATGGAGATTGATAAACACTGGTCAAAAACCAAAGTTGATAAGATATGTAAACACGGAATCTCACTCTTATCATCTCGGTTCTACTGGGAACCATACATCTAAATACAATTGTTTCCACTCGAATCTTCCTCTCACAACCTCATACAAGACCTACTGCATAGGTCTAACCGCTGACACTTATTCTGCTACTACCTCCATCTTTGCTCAAGCTCATAACTTTAACAGACGCCTACCTAAGTCTCATCAAGTCTACAAGTACGACCAAGTACATCCTCATCCCTTTGATCACACCTCTCTCCGACCTTCTCTGGCCTCAGTAGACCGCCAAATACACGCCCACGCCAATATTTATACCCGACAGAGGGAGCAAAGCGTGGTGCACAAATCTGGGAGACAGTTCTTTGGGATGGGTGTGAGAGGGATTATGACAAGTTCACAAGATGATGCAAAGTGAGGATACAATCTCGACGGGCATGTGAGTTTGAATTTTGGCAAGAGTATTACAAATTGACCATTGTGCGCGCCAAGACTTCGCCTGCACGAGTGCAATTGACACTATGTAAACAAGCCGACAATGGACAGTGATGTGGTCTGCATCCTGGTAGTATTCTTTGATAGAGTTTGAATTATATGGTGCCAGAAGCAACTTGTAGACAGCAGAGCAGAGTTGAGGATAAAGACAAGAATGCCAGGAAAGAGTTTTCCAGCTTACATTATGCATAAAATAGGTGCACAACCACTCGGCCAAGAGGCCAGACCAGATTTGTAGAACACCAGATATTGGTTATCTCCACATATTGTTAAATGACAAGGTATGTCTGGTTGGTATAAGAGCTAGCCGAGACAGTCAAGGTCAAACTCAGGAGTTGAGTCAATAACGCAACTCATGCAGATCAGTCACATGGAGAAAGTTTGTACTTATTAGTTTTAGTCCATCTCACTCTCATGAATACAATACTATTGCTTCTCATTCTATCTGACCTCCTTCCACTGTGCTAATTCCCTTGTCTTCTCTACAGTCATACAGCTATAGAAGGCCTCCCAATTTAATAGGTTATGACCACCGGTTTGCCACAGGTATAGATAGAATCAAAATCGACTCCAAAGCCTTGTAGGCTTCGTCTAAGATTCGAGAAAGGAATCAAATTGTCTACAATTCGAGCAAGGAATCGAAATCACGCCCAAGATTAAACCTCACAAGGATGGAGGATAACGAAATCATAGGTAAAATCCCCTCACTCTCAAGGGATAATTATGAGAACTGGTTCAGAGAGATGAGGCTCAAGCTAAAATAAAGGTCGAAGTATTAAGCACGATTTTGGACGAGACAAAGGTTGATAAGTATGAGAAAGCTGAAGCAACATCACTTCTACTCATACTTCAAGCTTTAAGTGCGGAGGATGTTGACATGATTGATGAGCACCAGACAGCCCTCAGAGTCTGGAACGCACTTAAAGGCAAGTATTTTAGAACTAACAAGTATTCTGCAAATACATATCTAACTAAAATTGTAACATTCCAATTCTGCAAAGAAATGAGTTTGGACAATTCTTGGGCTAAGCTCAAAGAGTTTCGCCGAAAACTTATCAGTGCGGATCCCATAATGAAGAACGCCTATCCAGATGCGGCTTT